AATTCTTGTTTGAACACTTATTGGCGCAACCTGCCAGACATGCTTTGCAAACACATCTCTCCACAGTACGTTGATAAACGACAAACAAGATGGACGATACAATAAAATATTTAAATACAAGGTTATCTATTTCATTCATAAGTCTGTCATCTTCATCCAAGGGGTTTTGATTTTTCAGATAAAAGCTGACCATACAAATCACATTCATTCGATTGCTTTTTTACTGTCTTCATACATATTTTTAAAACCTACTGCAACCGACCGTCCGGCTCAACGACGCTCGCGCGCATGTACTCGCGCGACTGAACCAGGCCATATTGAACTTTTCGCTAGTGTGGCAGGCTACGCAAACATTTTAACACTGTCGACTTTGAACGCTTTGATGTGCGCTAAAACACCGACACCGCTTGCAAAGTGCATTTCTTTGCGCACTTATTTGAACATTGGTTCCAAATCCCGTGTCACACATAGCTTCAAACAAGTGTTCAAATATTTAAAGCTGTATCTGGCGCCGGCTTGTAGGTAAGGTCTGGTGAGTACATCGGATGACGGAGAGCTTCTAACCCCATTTTTTGTACATGAAAATCGTGTTGTGCAGTATGAGGCCGCGCGTTCTCTTGCAGGAACAGCGGGGACGAGCGATTGACCAAAGCTGGTTGGAGACGTGCGACCTTCTCCATCATTGTGTTCAGTTCTTCACAGTACACATCTGCAGTAATGTTCATCCCGTTTGGTAAGAAGCTATGATGAATCACACCAGCGCTAGAATACTAAACAGTGACCATCACTTTTTTAGGGGTAACTTTTCGTTAAGGCCATTGTTTAGGTGCGAAACAAGGATCCAACCAACTTGCTGAGAGAATTTATTTTTAGTCGCAGGTAACAATGCGGTTCAGAATTCCTTCGCTTGAGTGCCTATTGAGCAGTGCAAGATACGAAGTGTACCTCACGCTGGCGATCATACGTGGGCCACTCATTTGTCAAGCTTTACCTTGCCAATTTGACGCAAATGAAATGAATTTGATGGATGGACAGTATTGTTTTGATACTAACGTCGAAAGCTGCACAATCCCCTTTAATTCGTGATTTTTCAGGTCGTAATTTCCAGAACGGAAGCGGGCAAACAAATGACTGGTGGCGCGTTCGTTTGTAGTATTCGCTCCGTAAACATCGTTGATGTTGCGTGCCTTTTGTGCCACGACAGTACTCATATTCCATAATTACTTGAATTTTTAAAGTGTTCATGATGACGAAGATTTAAATGCGATGAAAAAATAACGCTAATTAATAAACAAATAACTAATTTTATAAAAGAATTCCATGCTTTTAAAATAAAATTTATTTGAAATAAGAATTTTTAGCCAAACAAAAATTATTTTGATTTGAAATGGCCAGTAGGTACTGTAGAACGGCATCTTTTTGGGTAAAGAAAAAAATTTTTTCTTTGAAAAATAACCCTGTATAACACCCCTCTTTTTCGTCAGGAGTTAAAACAGCAGTGGGTGCACTACCATTTGACAGCAAACGAATTTTTAGACGACAAAAATTGTGTGGTTATGGCTATTTCAGACCACACCGATAATTTCCGAATAATCTGGAGCCATTAAAATGAGTAGGTATTTGTGTAAAAGATGTACGCGCATAACATTGGCAATCTTGTTCTACTGTCTATTTCCTTTTAATTGTTAAACAATATGACAAGAGGTAGCTCAGGAATCAGTATGAGAAATATGGAAATAGTCACAACACAACCAAATCCTATAAGAGTAAAGGCTACAACCAAATCCGAATTATTATTGATTTTGCATAAATGTTGGCACTGCTTGGGATTGAAACCCGTGGCCCCCGATATAGGAGCTAGAAACTGTCTACTAAGTCAGTTGGTCGTCCTCATAAATTAGTTTGTAACGAAGTTGTTAGTGAAATATTAACGTCGCAGTGAATTTTTCTAAACTTGTGTACGATTTGTGTCGTAGTATTGACCTTGAGTCTGGTAGTGGCAAGTTCACCGCTTATCGAGGCGGTGCAAATAAACATGCGAAATCTCTTATTCGAAGACCTGAAAAATATTACCTTTCTAGGATGGAACAAGAGCGCGCGACATGTCTACCATCTTATTACAAAAAATAGTTTTTATTTAGTTTCAGGTTTAGAGTCGGTTTCAATAAAGAAGTTTTTTGGAAAATATGGGAACTACGAGGGGCCTTCAGTGTATTCTCGGTATATGTATGTTAGAAAATAGATAAAATTATGAAACATTTTTTTAGTTTTTAATATAGTCTCCCATGACATTACTTTACATCACTTATTCATGAAAAAAATCTTTTCTATTCCCTTGAAAAAATATTATTCTTGGCCTTAAAAATGTTTTTTTTGAGTTTTTCGAGTCGAGTCAGTCTTTCCCGTCGTCTATGACTGAAGGTTACATAAGAAGTTATGTATAGTTATCAAGACGAAATTTCATATTTGTACCTCCAAGTAGTGTCATGTAATTAATTTTTTAGTTACCCCCTCGTAAAATGTAAACCAAGACATTAACAGCAAATGACTAAATCTCACAAAGACTAAATAAATTGAAGGTCAATTTTCAATTCCATTCCATTACAGTCTATCATATCTACCGTTGGACAAAGACCCTCCATAGATTACTTCATAGCTTGGCAACCAAAGTATTACATTATTTTGATTTGTTTCAGGAAGATGCTATTGTCCATCTCCTGGTTCATAACGCTCTTGCGCATCTTACAACACCCCTAGATATTATGGGGTAGGATTCTCTGACGCCGCCACTACAGAGAAGGTAAAATATAGTCATGGAAATATGTATAGACAATTTCAAATCTCTATCTCTTTATATAAAAATCAATTGCTGTTCCAGTCTCGCAAAAACTCGAAAATGGTTTGACCGATTTTGATGAAATTTTTCGTGTGTCCCTGGGTTTTTAGTGGGTCCCTGGATAATTTAGGATTATAATTGGACCCGGTAGTTGGCGCTGTTGTCGGGGTCCAGAAATCATCCGGGCGGATTGTTAGTAATAAATAATTATCAACAGATGATTCCCGATACTAATTTGTTTACGGTATCGGGAACCAATATTTTTAAAGGGAAATAAAATAACAATGATGCCAGTAACAAAATATTTATTCCTTTGGTTACAGAATTTAATGATCCATTAAACTCTTAACAATACAATGATGGAAATGTAGTCTCTCCTCTCTGTTTCCATCAAAACAAGAGGATGGCTGCAATTCCTCCCCGAACCAAAACTTACCACTATATAATTATAACAAACTATTTGCTCCACGGTAAAAACAAAAGTTATTTTAATTCGCTCAGTTAATATTGCTTTGTAGTTAAATACCACAAGCTAAGTGTTCAATGGTAGACAAGTTAGCCTAGGTAAATTCTATTCTTGACTAATAGATGAACTACTGTTACTAAAAATAGGATAACATGTGCCTGTTTTCTCTAATATATAGTGATCAGGGAAGACTTGCTGCACGTACAAAGAACGATGAAGCGAAACGCTTTGCTCGTATTCGAGGCACTTCAGAAACGAAACCTATAGAACACCAACAGGCTGACAAATCTGCGCCTTTGTTCAAAACTGTACAAACACCAGTAAAAGCTCAACATTTAGTATTTTTATTGTCAGCTCAGTTTTTAGTATTTTGAATTTAAAAAAAAAAATGCCACTTTCTTAGACTTCGTGCTAAATTTAATGCAGTTTAGATAAGGGTTCTATTTGTTTTTCATATCTAGAATACAATTAATGCATAATCAGACATATTTTTGAAAACTTCATTAAAATACCTTTTTTTTTTCACCGTGTACACTTAACAATTAACAAATTTTATATTGATATCAAAAATTTATTCGATTCGTGTACAATTATTTATACCACAGTTTGAGAAGCACAACACGACGTAACTTAAATTTTGAGCAAAACTTTACTGTGTGGAGTTTATGGAGTAATGTTGGGTTTTATGTGGCAACTCTATGGCACACTCAAGTAGTATGAGACTTTTAAACAGATATAAATACTTTGAAAATATTACCAAAGACTTTATACTAAATAAAGAAAAAATAAGAAAACTGAAAACATAAGTTAAAATATTATTTATAGGGAAACTATTTTGACTAGATTTTGACTGATTTATATATGAAAGTAAGGTCTATAATTGGAGGTATGCATAAAGTTTGAGATTCCTATTTCACTATTAAACAATTTTTCACTAAATTTTCTACAATAACGTAAGTAACGTAAGTATAAATTTTTTTTTAATAAAAAATTTATACTGCTGAATTTTTTAATCTTTAAATTTTATTAGGGATTTGGTAAGCCTTCAAACTGTGGCATTCCAAAAAGTATAAATTGCGAACGAATTGATATATTTCTTAAAAATATTCTACAATTAATTTGGCTAAAATATTGCACTACTATCTAAACTATCTACTTAATGGCATGATTTATGACACAATTTTCTTTAGTTATTTCTTTGATATTTTCTTGAGCTACAGACTTACACAATGATATGATTAAAATAAATTTTTGTACCTATGGAAAGCCTATAATTACAAGTATAGACAAGATAGATGCAGTTAAATCAATAAACACCTCTTTAAAATATTGCCTACATTAGTGCAATATATTTGAGCGTAAAAATGTGAGCGAGAATCTAATAAAAAACCTTTTAAATGAGATAAAATAAATTGCTTCGCGTCGTCGCCACAGTCTGCAAATGAAATGAGAAGGCAGTAGATACGAAATATTTTAAACAGACTTATAGTTTTATAACTAGTAATACTAAACTTGTGCGTAATGACCAAAATGTCAGAGTTTTGTTCACTTTATCTAATAATTCTTGTATGTGATTTGAATTCAGACTTTCACCTTTCCATCACAGAATCTTTCAAGGCACAAAAGGTAGGAAAGGAAGGAAATTAATCGAAACAAAGAGCAGCCCTCTCATTTCTTACACTTAAATAATATGGCAAATTAGCCCGGTGGCCAGCCCATCTGTCGGCCGCCCATTACATGCAAATGGAGATGATAAACTGACTGGGCTCCATGACGTCCGTTGTTGACGACGAGACGCCAGCCAGCTGGTGCTCGTGCAGCGCCAAGAGAACGCGCTACCAGCATTAGGTGGCCGAGGATCTGAGGAAAAAAGACGGTTCTTGTGTTATAATGCTTATGGTCACAACTAAAAGATTATATTTGTTGTAATATAAAACGAAACGAAATTATTCGGGTTAATTATTATTTCAAATTTATTCGATGAATTATCGTTGTCATATGATATCATATTTGTGTCTTTGTACAAATAGATACTTGGTTTTCTGATACGGTTTTAATATGATTGTGTCCACGATATTAAAGCCTTCCTATTCACTGACGTGTAAATATTAATCGTTACATCGGACTCGCGGAGGTTAGGATAAGTGAGTGTAGTTTCGTCTTCACTCCAAGAGTAGACGGGGCAAAAATGTTGAAATGTATGCATATTTATATTCTTAAGCAATTTATTGAGACTAGCTGTTCCTCGCAACTTCGCCCGTTGGTTCGTCGTATTTAAGATTTTAATTTGTTTGTGCGGAACCCCAATTCTTTGTAAACTTTTTTTAATGTAAATAATTTACTACATAAAAATTAATTCGGTTTCACAAGGGGTCGCTCGACAACTGATGTTGGCGTTGAGCTGATTAAATATATCTTCACAGAATTCACAGGATGCTTTGGGTATATTTTGTGACCCATCCAAGGACTTCGATTGTGTTCACCATGTCACATTAATCAGGAAACTTCAACGGTGTAAGAAGTGATGCTTTTAAATTGATTATTTCATATTTAAGTAACAGAATGCAAAAAGTTGTCATTAATAGCACGAGTTCTTCCAGGTCGATAGTACAATAGGGCGTGCCCCAGGGCTCAATTCTCAGCCCCTTTCTGTTTCTTGTATATATTAATGGCTTACCTTACATAGTACGGGATAACCGTTATATAGTATTATTTGCTGATGATACTTCATTAATTTTCAAATTAAAACGACAATTATTAAAATATGACGAAGTAAATAATGCTATATCTAAATTAGTAAATTGGTTTAATGTTAATAATTTGCATTTAAATGGCACTAAACTAAATGTATGAAATTCATAACTCCAAATGTCAAACATCTAAATACCAATGTAATTTTAAATGAGGAGGAACTGAGTCTTTTCGATACCACCATTTTCCTTGGAATCACACTAGACGCGAAGCTTCAATGAGGCCCCCGTATATATCAAAACTAGCAAGCAGATTTAGTTCTGCAGCATGTTCTGTAAAAAAGATTAGGAAGTATTACCAGTGTTGTAACAGCTAGACTAGTTTACTTTAGCTATTTCCATAGCATAATGTCTTATACTACAAGTATTTTGCTATGGGGACAAGCGACTGAACATTGAAATTATATATTATGTTTTACAGAAGAGGGCCATAAGAGCAATCTATGATTTAAAATCTAGAGTAGCTCAGACAAAATTTAAGGAAATTAATATATTAACTTTGACCTCTCAACACATGTATGAAAATCTAATGTACGTAGACAAAAATAAAATGGTTTTGTGATATTCATTCTGTAAATACTAGGAACAGACAGAAGCTAGTAGTACCAGTTACTCGACTCCATCGAGTCAGTAATTCATTTTTTTCATTTCATACAAATCCTAGAAAATATACAAAATTTGAGTTGCACAAAGTTCAAAAACTTTATTAAACTAAGTTTGTATACAAATGGTTATTATAATATTAAGGAATTAATAGATGATAGTAATCCTTGGGAATGAGGTGATCGCTACTAAGCCAATTCTAATTTGTTTTGTGTGTTGTTAATTCTGTAAATGTCTGTATTATAAAAAAAAGTCCAGCTGGGTTTCTTGCTAGTTCTTCCCAGGACAGAGGTTTTTTGAACCAGTGGTAATTAAACAAAACAGTGACTTTCAATAAGTTTCACTTATAATCTATATACTCGTAGATTAAAAAAGTTTGTTTCTGTTTTTTATTAATAAAAGTAGCCTAAGTTACTTCTTATAACATCAGCTATCTGCCAATGAAAGTCGCGTCAAAATCGGTCCAGCCATTTCGAAGATTAGCCGGAATAAACAGACAGACAAACATTTTAAAAAGTTGTGTTTTTCTTATAAGTAACGTATAATCTTTCATATGCATTTAGTAAAAAGCCGTTATTTTGACATTACAAACACACAATTCAATTTTATTTATTTGTATAGATGTAACCATAAGTATTTTTGCTGAAAAGAGACCGATTATTGTAATATATATAATCACCTCATCCAACCCAAAAATATAAATAAGAGTGTCAAATTAAAAATTACTATCTTTTATTTATTAAGAAAGTAACTAAGTAATTATTTAACATTAAACGCACTTAATAAATTGTTATAATAAATGTTAATAATTAATGTTCACTTTAGGCAGATTTTTGTTCAGAAAGCAGTTTATTAACATATTGGCAGATAGTCTAATACTAATCAATTTATAAGGTTACACGTGGTAGAGCCACGCTACAGTTATGGTCGGCTCGACCGGGGATGGACCACGCTCTTACAAAATACCAGCGAGGACCGGGGACCCTTTTTACTTGAAACGAGTCATTTAATCTTAGTCCTCAGAGGTGACAATGCATCTGCATTTTGATTCTTAATTGAGGATATGTGTAAATGTCTTTGGACCACAGCATCCAATTACCATCAAGTGGACTGTGTGCTGAATGAATGACAACCTCGTGGAAACTGTCCATGCGGTCAGAGCTAAGTTCTACAAGACCCGCCGCAGAAAAACACAAAAACTCTCCGATTACACTCTTAATCTCATGGCTGTTAGACGGGAGATGAAGCTACATTCTTCAACAGTTTTGACAGCATACAGGCAACTGAACAGACAGATCTCCAAATGCATGCGGCAGGACTTAGGCAACTTCAATACAGCTCGTATTGGAAGCGATCGAGCAGAACCAAGGCTCCAAAGTCTTTGCCAGAGATCTGTCTGCCAGAAAGAGCCAACTGTCAAAGCTGAAGACAGAATGTGGCATCGTTTCCGGGGCACGTGAGATTTTGAGTGAGATTGAGAGGTTCTATGGGCAGCTGTACACGTCATCGTTGGAGCCACACGCGAGTGGGAGTAACGATCCAAGAGCGAGTCTTATCCGACATTATTCCGATGATATCCAGGACGTCAGTGAGCGAGATTAGAATGGCTCTCCAGCACCTTAAAACGGCAAGGCCCCAGGCGAGGATGGAATAACAGCGGAGCTTCTGAAAGCGGGTGGAAAACCGGTACTTGAAGTCCTTCAGAAGCTCTTTAATTCCGTCCTCCATGGTGGCATTACACCGGAGGCGTGGAGCAGAAGTGCGGTGGTCTTGTTCTTCATGAAAGGCGACAACGCTCTCTTGAAGAACTACTCTGAGCCGCGTCTACGTGCTGTTTTCGAGATTCATTATGAATCGCCTCGCGCGCAGACTTGACGACTTCCAGCCTCCCGAACAAGCCGGTTTCCGAAAAGGCTTTAGCACCATAGACCACATAGATACCCTTCGGCAAATTGTACAAAAGTCAAGTACAATTTGCTACTATGTCTGGCGTATGTGGACTATGAGAAAGCCTTTGATTCCGTCGAAATTCGGGCGGTGCTGCAGTCCCTTCAGCGGTGCCAAGTGGACTGACGGTATATCGAAGTGCTGAAGTGCTTGTACAGTAGGGCTACGATGGCTATGCGAGTACAGAACCAGAGTACGATACCTATCCAATTGCAGAGAGCTGTAAGACAGGGTGACGTCATATCCTCGAAACTCTTCACCGCTGCATTGGAAGACGTTTTCAAGCTTCTGGACTGGAAAGGATACGGTATCAACATCAATGGCGAGTACATCACTCACCTTCTATTTGCCGACGATATAGTCCTTATGGCAGAATCGCTGGAGGACCTAAGCACTATGCTCAATGACCTCAATAGTGCTTCCCAACGGATAGGTCTTAAGATGAACATGGACAAAACAAAGATCATGTTTAATGTCCATGTCACACCTATGCCGGTAGTTGTTGGGAGCATGAAGCTCGAAGTTGTTGACGAGTATGTTTACCTGGGACAAATAGTCCGACTAGGTAAGTCCAACTTCGACCGAGAGGTCAATCGACGGATTCAACTCGGTTGGGCAGCGTTCGAGAAATTACGGCACATCTTCTCGTCAGGTATACCTCAAAACTTGAAAACGAGACTGTACACCTAGTGCGTGTTGCCAGTGATGACATACGGAACTGAGACGTGGTCCTTCACTGCTAGCCGGATAAGGAAGCTCAAGGTCGGTCAGCGAGCTATGGAGAAGGCTAGGCTGGAAGTTTTAGTACCAACGGATTAGTAAACTGAAGTGGCAATGGGCCGGCCATATAGCTCGAAGAACCGACAACCGATGGGGAAGAAAGATTCTCGAGTGGCAACCTCGTACTGGCAGGCGAAGTGTTGGGCGTCCCCCCACTAGATGGAGTGACGACCTGGTAAGATATGCAGGAAGTCGATGGATGCAGGTGGCTCAGGACCGTGCTTTGTGGCATTCCTTGGGGGAGGCCTATGTTCAGCAGTGGACTTGTGAAGGGCTGTAATGATGATGATGATGATGGACTGTGTGCTCGTGTGTTAACCTTTTTCTATACAAAAATGAGGCAATTCAGATTATGACCTGAAGAAGACAGATACCGTTGCGCAAGCTTTATCAGATTTGGCAATTTTTTCGAGACGTCACTCGAAATTTTTCCGCCATCCTGCCTGCGACGGAAACGGTAACGCGCGTCTTGTGTGCTTTTCAAATTGTTTGTACCGGTTAAAAAAGGTCGCGATCTCGATATAATATCGACCAATATATCACTAAAGTTACATCAATACAATTAATTAAATCAATTTCAAATACATTAAGTTTCATAATTGTTATGCGTAAAGCTAACTATAATAAAGATCAAATCAGTCATTAATAGAAATAAATGCACTGTTATCGTTAAAACCTATTAAAATTCCATTATTGAACATAGGGCTCCATCATAGATGCCCCTCTGTTGCCTCCTACGACACCCACTGGACTGGATTTTCTAAAAAGCCTTTAAACATT